ACTAAAAGTGAAGAGTCAGCTCATTGGAAAAGACCCTGATGCTGGAAAAAATTGAGGGCCAGAGGAGAAGGGGACAGCAGAGGATGAGATGGTTGGATGGCATCATTGACTCAATGGACATAAGTCTGAGCAAGCAGTGAGAGATAGTGAAAGACAGGGAAGTCTGGTGTGCTGCAGTTCATGGGGTCACAAAGTGGTGAACATGATTTAGCGACTGAACAGCATTGTCTAGTTATTAGGCTATTTCCAAAAAATGGAGTTGGTATTATGTTAGCCAATGTTCCTAAACCTCCACTCATTGCTTCTAGCACTTCTCTTTAATGCTATTCATTCCACATAATAACAAATAATTATTGAGTATGTGCTGAGTGCCAAGGGCCACTCTTTACTTTGAGTAAACAAGATAAAAAAAGTGCGTAGTGCTTTGTGGACTAGATTCTAAGAAAAAATATATAATCTTAGTAAACAAATAAAATTGCGATAAATGTTATGAATTAAATAAGGTTCTGAGATAGAGAATAATAGGAGGATGCCTACTTCTCATAGGATTTTCACAAAATGTTTCTTTTTTCTGAGGGGATAATATTTAAAATTAAGACATAAAGGATAAGAAGCTAGTCATGAAAAGTATAGGAAGGAGAGTATTCTATGCAGAAGGAAGAGCTTACACAAGGAACTGAGGCATGCAGTAGCTTGTTGTAGTTGGATTAGGTTCAAGGGACTGAGTGAAATCCACATGGTAGGAGTATAATTAACCAAGTTGAGTAGCACAAGATAGTTTGATTGTGTATTTGAGGGCCATATTTTACTGAGTTTTTGTGTCTCATAATAAGGATTTGGACATAGTAAGGACCTTGGACAGCCATTATGGGATTTTAAAGCCAAAGAAAAACAATAATCAGAGTTACCTTTTGACAAATGTAAATATATCTTGTGAGAGCAAGGGTTATGGCAGAGACCAATAGGAAACCATTGATATTTCTGTTTGTAAGAGATGATTATAGATTATAGTAGAGAAGTGAAGTGAAATCAGAGAGAAGCAAACATTTGAAATAGATTTAGAAAGTAGAATTGCTGAGATTTGCTGATGACTTAAAGTGTTTCAGAAAAAGGATAAAATAGAGATGAAATTCTAAATTTCTATGATTTGAATAAGAGAATGATATCCTTTTAGAAGATAAGGAAGATGGAAGTTGGAGGACATGAGAAGCCTGAATCTCTATTACCTCTTCTCTATACTTATGCATAGCTTATTTATGTAGGTCTTATTTTAAAAATAGTTCAGTAGGTAGGCTCCTTTCTTTTCATATTCCAGGGTATCTTTAATCATCTGAAAATCAGCTATGGTTCTAATCAGAAATTAATATGGTAAGACTGTAATTTCCTTCATTCTAGATAGAATGCTTAATACAGCATAAAAGTCATGACACATTAGACTTTTACTATAGTCTTAATTAAAATATTTTTATCATTCATGTTTTCAATAATATTATTTTAGTGATTAAATCTATTTTCCCAACTGCAATATCTATTCCTATTAAAATTCATCTATTCCAATTTGACCCATTGCTCCATCTATCTGTAATCTTTTAAATTTGTCTGATCTTAACTGATTTTGTTCTTTTACCACCTCCTTTGAAAATTTCATAAGAATTTTCTTGTAGTTTTGTTCACACCATTCAGATAAATATTGATCAGCATAGGGCTAAGAAGTTGTCCATGTATCATGACATTAGAAAGCTCCCTTCATTTTATTAATCCTTACTCTTTTCCATATGATAACCCAACATCTCTGATCTGTACCTAATCATAGTATCTTTCCATAAAGTAGTAAAAGTATTTATCAAACGTTGTTGAAATTCAGGTCTGTCTTATCAAGGGTATTTGAACCTGATTCTGACTCTGTTAAAAATAAAATTATACCTGATGTAATTAGTTTGTTTTCACTATATACTGCTCCTTGGTGATTATTTCTTTTCTAAATGCTACCAAAAATCCTTAAAATATTTCCCTAAGTTATTGAAGACCAGTGTTAAGGTTAAGGCACTTTAGTTAATAGAATATCCTTTCAGTTATTGAAAACAAGATACTTATTAGGTTATCTCCAGTGGTATCATGACTTATTTTCTCTGTGATTTTGAAGATCAGTCAATAAATGGGTACATCCTTCCTTTTTTTAATTGCAGTATATTAAACAAAAATCCAATTTTCTTTATATTGACAGCTTATATAAGTCTCATATATAAGTCTTTTATATAAGTCTCAGTTCATTTGAAGTTTTAGACTCTGATCATCTTTCTATAGATTTGTTTCACATCACATATGCACCCTATATCATGGATTCTTCTTTTACAAAATCCAAGGAAGGGGAAATTATTTTAAATGATGACAAACAGTGATATATGAATTATATATGAAAAAGGATAAGGGGGCAAACCAATATATATATATTGATTCCACTTGAGGGCTTTAAAATTTCATGATTCTGCAAATAAACTTTATTTGTGATAGAGTTTGGATACTCAGATTTGACAAATACATACATTTAAACATTTTTTCTATTCTTCTAGAGGGGTAAAGGGATAAGAACTAGTAGAAAAAGAATTGTTGAATGTACCATTTCATTCTACTTCTATTATTTTCTTATAAGGAGAATGTAAGTGTGAGATCTTGAAGAAAGAAACAGTCTATCACTGAATTAGAATTTGAATTGATTTTTAACATATGATGAATTACATTGTTAAGAGGGAGAGATAGAACATGGTTACCAAAATAGAGAAAAATTCATAGAAGAAAAAGGATACAAGAATGATAATATGGCATGAAGAAGATTGATGGACAAATTTGAGATTGAAAAAGACTTTGAAATTGATTGTTAAGATTTGGTGGCAAAACAGTAGTCTACATTTTTCTGTCATACTTTGTTTAATGGAAAGAATTGAGCCCTAATGAAAATAGAAACAGCATTACTTAAAATATTGCCATTCTTTGATAATGTGTTACTGTGTATTACTATAATTATTCTTGATAACCTTAAGAAAAACTTCTAAATATAGAGAGAATAGGTGAGCTCAAAAGTAGCTACCTATTTGTCTTTCTAGCAAAAAATAGTACTTTTGTCATGTAAGAACTTAAAGTAGTGTTGTATAAAAGTTATTAGGGAAGGAATTTTTAGAGCAGAATGAAAATTGAGATTCATTCCAAGACCAGATAATACTGAGTACCTAACACAAACATTAAAAAAAAAAATTCCTTGCATAGTGAGTCACTGCATAGAGACTGTGTTTTCAAAAAATAATTTAGAGGACATATAAAATTTAAAAGATAAAAAGAAATTCAAGGATATTTAATTAAATCTATCTATTATATGGTACAGAAATTTGTCCATAAAATTGTGAATACAGGGGACTAGGACACATATCCAAGTGTTCCTTCTAAATTGTAGAGTAAAAGAAGTTTTGACAACTGGACAGTTAAGGCAAGGGGACTATGAAAAAAATCTGTTTAAAAATTCTATCACCTATCATATGTTAGAGAATTTTTGTGAGTTTTCTCCCCTTGGATGAAGGTACTGCTATTCCCAAGAACTAGAAATAAGTACTGAAAGGTTTAGAGGAAAGATATGACAACAAGTCTCTTGAGTATGTTGTGTCTGTGAGATTTCCCAGGGCAAAAGAGCTCAGTTAATAATGGTTATAAGTATTAAATAAATTAATATCTATAAAGAATGTAAAATAATGGCAAATATGATAAACACTATACAAGTATTCGATAAACAAATATACAGAACCAAATCTCAGAAAAGAGATCTACCTGAGGACACATACATATATATATGTGTGTGTGTGTGTGTGTGTGTGTAAATATATATATTTAAAAATTCAAAAATATATTTATAAATTACAAATATATTTATGATTCACAAACACACACACACACACACACACACACATATATATATGTCAAATCAAAATTTAGACCAGTGAATCGTCAAAATTTAGACCAGTGGTTCTCATCAAGGAAAGTATAATATCCTGGGAAGGATTTTTCAAATACAAGCATATGTCCCTTCCTAAAATTTTGATTTTTTCTCCTGTAGCAGTGTATTAGTTGCCTACGAATGTCTGTCCTTCTCTTCTTTTTTGGTAACAGACCCTCCATTTTACTCCAGGAAGTTAAGTCCATAGCACAAAGGCTGCATTTCTTGCCCTCTCAAGTTTTAGCTGTGGGAAGTCAATGAGATGTCAACAGAAGTTATGGGAAGGGCCTCTAGGAAAGTTCCTTAAGACAACATGGCCTGTGCACTTTTATCATTTTATCCTTTCTTCCATCTTGCTGACTGAAGTATAGATATGATGTTTGATGCTCAAGTAGTTATCTGTACCAATCCTGAATGGACTGTGAAGAAAGAGATAACACAGTATCAATTATTAAATCATTCCCAACCACTTTACAGGGATTGTATAGTTTACATCTGAGAGTGCCTCTGCTCTCCACAGAGCTCCTTATCAATATGCTGCTTATCCTTTCCACACATACTCTTAAGGCTTGTGATAATTCTGGCCCCATTTATTTCTTCCTGTTTTACTGTCTATGGTGTTCCGTGAAATAATTTTGTCCCTTCTTTCTTAGAATCTTCCTTCAGGCTTTCTGAAGGAAAGAGTCTTGTTTCTTTTGTTTATTCTTATTTCTTCTCCCTTCAGATTCCTTTGTCATGTCATCCTCCTGACAGATCCCCTTCCCCTTCCCCTCAATCTCTGTTAGAACATTGTCTTAAGTATATCATCAGCTCTTAATAGGAGGGCTGTTTATCAGAATCATACATAATGGAACTCTTTTCATCTTTTCTAAACTCTGCCTACCTCACAGGTTTTGCTGTTGTTTTTTAAAATAAAAGTAAATCATGATAATGTACTATAATATATGTGAGAGTTCTTTGAGAAATCTAAAATATATGAGATATTATCATTGTTGTCATTGCTTTTATTTTGTTTCCACAGAGTATATATTCTCCTGTTGATTTAAAATATTCTACTGAACAGAGAAAACTTGTTTCTTCTATTTTACATGAATTAAAAACAAGAAAACCAAGATATCTCATTCAAAAAGGTTAGTTATATGAATTTGTAAAGTATATTTAATGAACATATTTTGATGAAAAGTAATTATATTTGTTAAACATTGGGCATGCTAATTTGAACTATAAATATGACTCCATGAAATATATGTTGAGACTTCTAGATAAAATATCTATATCTCATTTAATACTTTATAAATATATATATATATATATATCAAAAAGTTGTTTAATGGATATGACAGCCCTGATTTTGACTAGAAATTGGGAATTAGAAATAAGTATTATCAAGAAAGGCCCCATCAGTGAATCAGCAGTAAAGAATCTACCTACAATGCAGGAGACACAGGAGATGTGGATTTGATCCCTGGGTCAGGAAGATCCCCTAAAGGAGGGCATGGCAACCCATGCCAGTATTCTTGCCAGGAAAATCCCATGGAAGAGGAGCCTGGCAGACTACAGTCCATGGGGTTGCAAAGAGTTAGACACATTGAGCAACTGAACACACACACACACACACACACACACATGTATGATTAGCAAGAAACATATTGAATTTTTTTGTTACTGTATGACTGTGTCAGCATGGTACATCCTTCAGGAAATCTGTCAATTAGCAGATTAATATAAATCATTTAAATGAAAAATGATATAAAATGTCTTTCAGATTTTGAAGATAATTAATTCTTATTACACAAAAAAAATTTATGTTAATAACATTTTGGTCATCATATCTGTGCATGCATACTAAGTCGCCTCAGTCATGTCTGACTCTTTGCAACCGTATGGACTGTAGCCCACCAGGCTTCTCTGTCCATGGATTCTCCAGACAAGAATATTGGAATGGGTTGCCATGCCATCGTCTAGTGGATCTTCCCAACCCAGGGATCGAACTCGCATCTCTTATGTCTCCTGCATTAGCAATTGAGTTCTTTACCCCTAGTGCCACCATCATATGTATACTTGTTTTTATTTTGTTTTTGCAGAATTTATTTTGATAAAATATTGTATTCTAAGCAGATGACGTTACTCTCTTTATCCCTGTCTTTCACAGAAAACTAATAAAACCAGTGTATAAAATAATTTGAAGGTCTTATAATTTTTCTCAAAGTTTCTGTTCAGTTCAGTTCAGCCGCTCAGTTGTGTCTGATTCTTTGAGACACCATGGACTGCAGCATGCCAGGCTTCCCTGCAACCACTCCAGGGATTTACTCAACTGTAATCCCTATTTACCAACTACCAGGGTTTACACAAACTCATGTCAATTGAGTCGGTGAAGCCATCCAACCATCTCATCCTCTGTCGTCCCCTTCTCCTCCTGCCTTCAGTCTTTCATCAGTGTCTTTTCAAATGAGTAATCTCTTCTCATCAGTGGCCAAAGTATTGGACCTTCGGCTTCAACATCAGTTCTTCCAGTGAACGCTCAGGATTGATCTCCTTTAGGATGGACTGGTTGGATCTCCTTGCAGTCCAAGGGACTCTCAAGAGTCTTCTCCAACACCACAGTTCAAAAGCATCAATTCTTCGATGCTCAGCTTTCTTTATATTCCAACTCTCACATACACACATGACTACTGGAAAAACCATCGCTTTGACTAGATGAACCTTTGTAGGCAAAGTAATGTCTCTGCTTTTTAATATGCTGTCTAGGTTCGTCATAACTTTCCTGCCAAGGAGTAAGCATCTTTAATTTCATGGCTGCAATCACCATCTGCAGTGATTTTGGAGCCCCCCCCAAAATAAAGTGTGCCACTGTTTCCACTGTTTCCCCATCTATTTGCCATGAAGTGACAGAACTGGATGCCATGATCTTAGTTTTCTAAAACTTGAGCTTTCATCCAGCTTTTTCACTCTCCTATTTCACTTTCATCAAGAGACTCTTTAGTTCTTCACTTTCTGTCATAAGGGAGTTGTCATCTTCATATCTGAGGTTATTGATATTTCTCCTGGCAATCTTGAATCCAGCCTGTGCTTTATCCAGCCCAGTATGTCTCATGATGTACTCTGCATATAAGTTAAATAAGCAGGGTGACAATATATAGCCTTGATGTACTTCTTTTCCTATTTGGAACCAGTATTTTGTTCCATGTCCAGCTCTAACTGTTGCTTCCTGACCTGCATACAGGTTTCTAAGAGGCAGATCAGGTGGTCTGGTAGTCCCATCTCTTGAAGATGGTCATCTGAGTTAAATTCACCCATTCCAGTCCATTTTAGTTTGCTGACTCCTAAAATGTCAGCGTTCACTCTTGCCTTCTCCTATTTGACCATTTCCAATTTTCTCTTAAACCCTTTAAAAATTATGATAAGAACACTTAGCGTTAGGCTTACCCTCTTAACAGATTTTTTAATTGCACAATACATTTAGCTATAGGCACAGCAGATCCTTCTGACCTTTCCATCTTGTATAACTGGATATGTATAATATCTAAACAGCAGCTCCCCATTTTTCCCTCCCTCCATCCTTTTAATTCTTAAATGTTTGATTTTCTTTTTAAAAATTTATGGTGGTATCTTTATCCTTACTGATTTTTTGTCTTCTGTGTACATGAACTCATCAAACTCTACCAGATTCTTATTTGTCAGTGACTTGGTTTGTTATTTCATCACTTCTCTATTAAGTTCATGTACTTTATATATTTCCTAAAACTCTGCATCTTTTATTTAAAAGTAATGTTATTTTAATCCAATTATTTGACTCCTAGGTTTAAAACCAAAATGAAATTAAGGAAATATAGTAGTCCCATGCTCCATACCCTCCCACTCATTTTTGTTGCTTCCCCAGAGCAATAATCCTTTAATAATTTTTGAATACTCTTATGTTACTTACTTTCATATTTCCAAGTAATATATTTATTGTTAGAATTTCTTTTTTAATTTTAGATTTTATATGCAATTTCTACTGTGAAAGATGGAGATTTAATTATTTATAAATTCCCCCTAATTCACATTCTTAACATGTCCCCTCCCCTTTTCTCCCAATAAAATTATATTATCACTATTTGGGGCTTAATTAATAATTAACATTTTAATTATTATGGCTATATAAATAACTACTAACAGCTGAGTCACACAGTATACTAGGCTATGTTTGCCTTATACTATTACTTAAAAACTTGTTTGGAAACCTCATAATAGTCAACTCTCACCAAGCACATCCATACATATATATTTTTTCAATATACTTCTGCTTGAGACCTTAATTTGCTAATTTAATCAGGACTACTTGCTTTCTAAACTTGTTTTTAACAGCTGTCATCTTGGTACATCACTTCATCTTGGTACATTCATTCAGTACTGTGATCCTGAGAATTCATTTTTCTCATATACTGTGTTATGACCTGTTTCCAGGGTTCTATATCTTTTTTCTTGGTTTATTTTCTTATATTACTACAATACTTTCTTACTAGTTTACAGAGAAATTATGCATTAGAAGTAATTTTTTTTAAAAAAACTTAAAAGCCTAAGCATATTTTTATGCTACATATATATTTAATTGATGATTTAACTGTGCAGAATCGTCATAGTTTTCTCAGAATTGCTTCATTTTCTTCTAGCTTCCAGTGTTACCTTTGAGAAATCCATTGCCATGTAATTCTCATTCTGATGTGTGTGAACTTCTGTGTGTTGTTTTTGTCTGCTGACTAGAAACATTTAGCAGTTTATCTCTGTACCAAGTATTTTGCAATTTCACAGTGATTTGGCTCAGATATTTGTTTGCTTGTGAGGATTTTCTTTTGATTCAATTTATTGTGACTTTTCAATCTGAAAATTTATATTCCTCATTTGTCAGTATTTCTCTTGTCTTATTTTTAAGGTAATGCATATATTAAATATAACACAGAACATACCATTGTAACCATCTTAACTGTATATTAAGCATATTTATATTGTTGTACAACCATCATGACCATCCATCTGCAGGAGCTTTTTATAAACTCTTTCAAATGGAATGCTATACCCATTGAACACTAACTTCCAGTCCTCCCATCCTCTTATTTTCTGGAAATTACCATTCTACCTTCTGTCTCTAGAATTATTATGAGTGTGATTATTACAGATATTTTTATATAAATGGAATTATACAACATTTGCCCTTTATTTACTGGCTTATTTTAATTAGCATAATATCTTTAAAGTTCACCCATGTTGTAACAAAATTGCTTTCCTTTTAAGGTTGAATAATTTTCCATTATAACTAGGTACCATGTTTTAATCCATTCGTTTATCAGTTGGCACTTGCTTTGCTTCTACCTTTTAGCTATTGTGAATAATGCTGCTATTATCGTGGGTGTACAAGTATCTCTTTGAGACCCTGTTTTCATTTGTTTTGGGTGTATACTCATAAGTGAAATTTCTGGATGATATAATTTTATTTTTTTCTTGAGGAACTACCATACTTTTTTCCACAATGATTATACCACTCTACATTCTCAATATTAGTGCACAAGAATTCCAATTTCTCCACATCCTGACCAACAGATGTTATTTTTTTTTTGCTGTTGTTGTTACTGCCATCCTAGTGATTTTGAGGTCATATCTCATTGTGGTTTTGATTTGCATGTCCATAATCATTAGTGATGTTGAGCATTTTTATTGTGTTTATTTATTATTTATGTATCATCTTTGGAAAAATATCTATTCACATCATTTGCCCACTTCCTCATTGGTTTGTTTGATATTTGTTGTTGAGTTGTATGATTTATTTATATATATATCACAAGCTGGAATCAAGATTGCTGGGAGAAATATCAATAACCTTAGATATGCAGATGACACCACCCTTATGCCAGAAAGTGAAGAAGAACTAAAGAGCCTCTTGATGAAAGTGAAAGAGGAGAGTGAAAAAGTTGGCTTAAAGCTCAACATTCAGAAAACTAAGGTAATGGCATCTGGTCCCATCACTTCACGGGAAATAGGTGGGGAAACAGTGTCAGACTTTATTTTTCTGGACTCCAAAATCACTGTGGATGGTGATTGCAGCCATGAAATTAAAAGATGCTTACTCCTTGGAAGGAAAGTTATGACCAACCTA